AATGTTTGGGACTGAGCTATTCTCATATTCCCTCATGCAGAGTGTAGTCTCCTTCTCTAATATCAGAACATGACATTTTGCACTTTCAAAATGCAGAAAGAATTGCAAAATTGTCAGCAGGTACCACGAAGAAATGACCAGTGAACATCTAAAATGGAGCTAATAGCCATATAGAACCTGGTTGTGGAATCTGTTAGTGGACTGTAGAACAATAACCTGGCTCTGCTTCAAAGTGAAAAAGTCAGGAGGACAATATTAGAAGCTGCAGTGCTGGAGGAACCTCTCAGTGTCCCTTCTAAAGATACCAAGGTATATATCACAACCTATTTTTGCCACATCAACTGGGCTCATGTTGTCTAAGGACTGATCGACACACAAGGCTGGTTCTGCATGTACCAGCATGGGAAGAGGAAGCACGATGACACAGAATAACACAGAAAATGTTTGCTTCTGTTAAACAAGAATGTGCTCTCTGGTCAATCTGTGGTTCATTACAAAACTGTAAAGCTGGCTCTTAAGCACCTCACTAAGTCTTTAGTAAACACACATCCATTCCGCCTCTTCCACTCAACACATTGGTAAAAGAAGATTCTTGTAAAATAAATAAATCAACTCATAGGGAAAATAAATAATATGAAACTCTTGCTTATCTATCACTTTTCAACAGCCCAAACTAGGTACACTCCTTTCTACATGTTTCTTGATAGATGCTATACTCACGGAATCTTTACAGCCTTAGATAGGAAGAAAAGGCAGCCAGTTGTCCCCCAACAGTCTCTACAGTACCCCAACAGTCTACACAGTTTACATATGAAAAGTTGACAAACACCCTCTTCAAACCTTAGGCTGTACCAGTTCTGAAACATTCTTTAGAACAAAGAAGTTACTTCAGTGACAATTATTTTTCTTTAGTTTTTCTTTTACCTCTCTTTTCAGAAGAGTAAGACAGCGAGTAGAAGAGTAAATGTGGCAAAGCAAATGCGAAGAACCAGTCAAATCTGCAAGGGCTGCCATAGCAAAGGGAATAAATGTGATTTTGATGTCATGAAAGTAAAAATACACCCTACTGTGTCTCCTGGAAATGCTGGGATAAAAGGAACTAGAGTAAGCAACATAATACCCAGAGGAAAGCTGCAGTTCTCTACTGTTCAGCAGGAAGGCAAATAGTAATAAGAAGTTCATATCTCCAGAATCTTTTCTGTGAGGCAGAAACTTATCCCTGTGGCAAGGAACTTGCATAATGTCTTTGCACCACTTAACTACCTCAAAGGAGGTCTTCAGTGGGATCCAAACTGCAGCTTACATTACACTGCTGCTTACATTACTGACCATTTCTGTGGGCAGGTGAAAAAACCTGAAGCACCTCCACTCCCATTAACCTGTCCATTTGCAATAGTTTTCAATCACAGACAAGGATGGGAGCACCTCAGGTGGTCACATTCAACTGCTTCTGCTTGGTGTGCTCCCAGCCCTGTGCCATGGGTGGCAGGGATACCCTGACTGTCAGCAGGCTTCCAAACAGCAGCTCCCAGGGAGTCACTCCCTCCTCAGGCTGGGGAGCAGATATCCATGGTGTAATGGAGCAGGCTGTCAGCGGTGCAATGAAGCAGCAATATAGGACTTGAGACATACATAAGCAAGCAATGGCAGATCTTTACATGGCAATTGTGCCATGTGTTACTAAGCACTCATCCTAACTACCCTAAAACTTCATCTTCAATCATGTTTATTGTCTCTACTTTTACAGTCTTATACTGTTTCCATGTGTCAGCTCACCCATGTCAAAGATGATCACTACAGAAAGACCCAAGGAAGTGACTATTGGAGTGACTGTACTAAATAATTTTAACATAAGATGGTGACGAGTGTATGTAGTTTCACAAGTAGGTTTCCCCTTAACATTCTTGTAGAAGCATCTAATAGCATTGACTTGAGAAGCTCCACTTCTCACGAATGGAAATTTAGGTTCTGGATGCATCATGCTGCTGACTGTGCAACTGCAAGGGAGTTGAAGCAAACTGCATTGGAGATGGGAACAGGGAAAAAAAAAGCTGTGAATGCAACAGAGTATGATACCAAACTTCATGCCATTATGCTCAAACACAGGGAGCCCAGGAAATACTGGATGCAGAGCTCTTCTCTAGCCTGAATGCTACTATATAAGGACCCTGGAGACATAGAAAAGCTGACAACACCTTATTATCTACCACAGCTTGCTCAGCATGATATTGCATCACTAAACCTGAGGAAAGATCATGATCCTAACCATATGAAAATTTGGTTTTATATAATTATGAGAGTACATTTCTTATTCCTACATAGAAATAATGGTTATTCTACTCCAGGGACTTTCTGAGACAGTAACTGTATATTTCCTGTTTTACTTTGCAAGGGAAAACATAGTAAACAGGTGCTGAGTAAATGCATGTTCTAGGCATTGCCTAAATTACTGTGCTATTTTACAATTAATTCTTTTTACTACAGTTACTCCTCTCTTGACACCTGTTTTTCTTCTCAGAGCAGGACTTAATAAGAGGCCAAGAGGTGAAGTTGATGAGGGAGAAGGCTGTGGGTTTTTTTGTAAGAGGCAAGTGCTGAATATCCCACATAGCAGTACTGTGTAAACAAGCCATTCAAGTAGATGTATTTTCTGTGCTCATTTGACCTGCTGTTGTTAGAGAACGAAGCGAGGGACTATCATGATGTGTGCCTGTCACTCCTAGCTATGTTTTCACTCACGTGGCTTCCATAACTCTTTTACTTTGCCTATTTTCGTTTCCAGCCTGGCTCAGTGGTAGCCCAGGGCTGTCAGCCAGTGGCTGCACCACATATCACACATCTGCACTGCTGCTCTCAAGCCCATAGCTTTTATTTGCTCTGCATCAGACACACCATAAGCTTTCAACAGTTAGAAGTATTAATTCTGACGCTGATGTGGTCAATTATATTACACTCAGTTGAAAGCCATGTGATTAAGTCACAAATACCAGCTAAAAAACCCTAAGAGTAATACAGAAATCACATCCACAGTGATTTTTAAAAGTCTAACGTGGAGAGAGTTCCTATCCTGCACTTAAAAAATTGAAAGAAAAAACAAGCACAAAACTCAGTGAGCTGCCTCACTTCTTGTAACTGCCGGTCTGGCAGATGCCACAAGTTAAGCTTTCCAGGTTATTCCTGGTGCTTACGCCTCTCTGAGCCCTATCGTGCCACACCAGCAAGCACTCCCCATGTTACTCCAGGTCACATGCACCCGGGGTCACATGCACATGCCTGGAAACAACGGGACCCCAGCAGCGTTTCTAGCTGGCATTTCATGGCATGATCCCTGCAGGAATGAAGAGCACGGCAGAGTACTGGGACAGCATACGAAGCAGGCTTACCTTCCAGGCAGCCAGGAGCCAAGGGTGGGAAGCTGATCCTTAGGAGAGGTGGGTCCACATTCCTGCCATGGCACCCGGCAGCTGCTGCTGTCACTCCCTGGTCCACCCCGCGCTCTGCAAACACTCAGGGAGCAGGAGGTGGCAGGCGTGGAAAAAGAGGAAAACATCACAGGCACTGCCAGTCTCTGCTTTACATGTGAGGAAGCAGAATGTACATGTCATGTACAGGGAGCAGGAGGCTCCTTGACAAAGTTTCTCCTAAGGGACTAGTTTGTAAATGTTTGAGGATGAAAACAAGGAAGGTGATTTCAACATTACAATAAATTGATTCCAAGAGCTCTGAGCCTTTTCTGATGTGGTAGTCCATGTAAGCTGTAAGCACTTCCTTCTCTTTGCAGGTTTTTTAAGTCAACAGTTCTGAAAGTGGACTATCCTTGTGCTGGCAGGATCCTACATCTGCTGTCCTCCAGGAGTTCATACAGGAGTGGAACAACAGATCTCTTTTCTGTCAGATATCCATTGTTTCAGCACATGATGTCCCTGAATATTACTGCTATATCCCAGCAAACCAAATTATCCTGGGCTGTAAAATATATTTCAATGGATGAGTTACACACACAAAAAAATATCTTCCCTCCCATATTTATTGATACTGTTTGCCATGCCTTCCTCAACAATGATGGATGTGACAATGATGAGAAGTGGCTAATTAGGAAAGCATTAAATACCTTTGTAGCCATCTTTTAAATGACGTGGCAGCAGTTCCCCACAGAAAACAAGTGGCTGCTCCAGGCAGTGGTTTTTTTTTAGTCACTTCCCAGGTCAGCAGGAAGCAAGAGCACAGGATATGAGCTGTCATTAACAGACCAACTCCCATTGTACCCTCTCCACCTTCTGTTTCTGCCCACTCTTATCAAATAGCCAAACCTCAAAAGAGACATTACTCAGTAATGCTGATAAGGACACCAGCATCTGACCTGCACCTCTGCCCCTCTTTTGCAGAACAAAATCACCTGCTACTGCAGATATTTTTTCTTAATAAAAAGCTTGAATAAGCATAGGCTTTGATTGATATATTTTGTAGAGCTGCATGTCCATTTCCATAAGCATTTGGGTTCATTTGTCAATGTGTGTTCAATTTTTTTCCATAGAGAGTGTTACCACTGTAAGTTTATACCCACAGCAAAATTTTCTACACTGCCATATGAAGTTTGCCTTGAAAACAAATTCAGTTGAAAAGGACAGATAAATATCTAAGTGTTTAAAAGTTTCCTGAATGGTAATGACATTTGATTGAAAGCTTGGAATTTTGATAGCAAACATTTTGACTTCTGAGACCTAATGAAGAATCTAAAACACACACTTATCTATGACAAGGAAAAAAAATACAATACAGAGTTCTCAACAGAACTCTTACTTTTATTTGACTAACTCTCAATTACTACTTATTCTGCAGCCTAGAGTTGATTTATAACAGCTGAATGAGTTTATTTTTTTCTGCAGTCCAGTAAGACACAAAAAAAGCAGTAATAAACTGTACAGTACTAGCTAGATTGCCAAAGCATTTGTGGGTTCTGAGGTTGATATTTTTGTAATATGCATTGATCAAACATTAAGTCGTGGTGGAAGAACTCTGTTTATTTTGGAGGAAGAAAAGGCATGGGAAGCAAACATTTTAATTATTGTTTCGTTTATCAACATCATTTAAGATAACGCTTATGCTAACACAGTCTTTAATATTAAAGTCATAGCAGATTCTAAGATGTTCATTTTGCAAATGAAAGAAACTAGCTTAATATTCCTATTGCTATCTTCAATTAAAATGCAGATGTACAAGATAATGAAAAAGCCGCAGTGGATGCAGTTGACTTGATATCATAGCGTTATTTCAAACTTATCTTTTCAAAATAAAATATCCATTTTGTCAGTAGGAGATATTGTTCTAACTCTGTGACAGACTCTGGGAACTTCATAATTCTGGAAAAGCCAGATGCCACCATTCATTGAAGTTATATATGAATTATCACCTGAGAAACCTTTCAGAATGTGAATAAAAGATGTGGATTTACCAGGTCAGAGTTGTACTATATTATATTTACAGGAAAAGAAACTGTACAAACATCATAAAAACCATCAATGCACACTTTATGTACATGAAAAGGAAGTAATGACATTCCAGTCTAGCAGGGCCAGACCTTACCTCTGAGTTAAGGCAGTACCTTGGAACCCCACAAATTCTTATTAAACATCTCAAAATACACTAGAAATCTGAATAGCAGAGAAGAGAATTAAAGGATTGAACACTGTTGTACAGGAACATTTTCTCTTAAAGGCTTACGTTGTATATACATACACACACATATATACATGAAATACTGGCATACTGCAGTAAGGCAAATTAAAGGTGTTCTGCTTATATGCAAGTCCGGAGGAGAAATAAAAGAGTCTCAGGCAGTTCCTCAAGCATAAGAAATTGCTTCTCAGTTCACTCTCAGGTACATAGTTGCATAAGGTACCTTCTGCATTTGGATCTAATAAAATGCAACTTACAGGTCTTGTTCAAATCTGATATACATTCACATTACTGATATACCTGGAGAAACTATTCTTTATTACATTACAAGGAGATACAGAATTCCAACACAAATAACATTTCTCTGTGGGTAAAAAACCCCAGCACTATTAAAGACAGAGATAGTTGTTTTGTTTTTTTAATTCTCATAGAAAACAACATTAAAAGGGACAATTCAAAAGAACATGGGGGCAGATAAAAGGATGAGCTGTATAGACAAAACATGGACACAAAATTTTAAAAAACCCCAGAAACTATACAATTGTTTTCACTGTGTTTCCAAATGGGTAAAGTACCTTCTGAATAAAAATCACCTGCTTTTTTCACTATTGCATTTAGGTGCTGTAGGACACCCTTACAAATGGATACTGAAACACATGGTGACATTCACATAACTTTACCCAGTGCATTTTGTTTCAAGTGCTGGCCAAAGGAAAGTTCAAGGCAAAGAAATACAAACAGGGTTCTGCTCCCCCAGCTCAAATGTGTCCTCCATTTGATGGTTTTCACTGTAAATAAGGCATAGTGGTTCAAGTACTACATTAAATGTAATCAAACAATGGGAAAGAAAATCACCCATTAACTCTTTCCAGAAAAGTACTTTATTAGGGAGGATAAAAAGCACTGCTCAGACAGTCCGAATAAGCATGGCCTCCTGCGTTGCCAGGCTCCTCAGGCTCAAAGTCATCAGGGTCTGGGGGCAACTGGTCAGTATCTTCATCAGAAGTGGAAGGGCGCGTGAGGATTATCCGAGGTATCTTCAACAAGGTACGAAAGATTTCAGAGAAAAGCGTTTAAAGGGCATATTTTAGAGGTACAGGGGAAAGAGGTAATGAGAAAAACATGAGAGAGGTGTAACACCACAGAACTTAAAAAACTCATAGAATTGTTTAGGTTGGAAAAGACCTTTAAGATCAAGTACACCACTTAACCATGACCCTAAACACTACATCTACATGTCTTTTAGATATCTTCAGGGATGGTGACTCAGCCACTTCTCTGGGCAGAGTGTTCCAATGCTTAACAACCCTTTCAGTGAAGACATTTTCCTAATGTTCAATATAAACCTTCCCTGGCACAAGTTGAGGCCACTTCCTCTTGTCATGTCACTTCTTACGTGGGAGAAAAGACCAATCCCTTACCTCACTACAACCTCCTTTCAGGTAGTTGTAGAAAGCAATAATGTCTTCCCTGAGACTCTTTTTTTCCAGGCTAAACAACCCCAGCTTCCTCAGCCACTCTTTATATGATTTGTGTTTCATCTCCTTCACCAGCTCTGTTGCCCCTCTCTCGACACGCCCCAGCACCTCAATGTCTGTCTTACAGTGAGGGGCCCAAAACTGAAAACAGAATTTGAGGTGTGGCCTCACCAGTGCTGAGTACAGAGGAATGATCTCTGCCCTGGTCCTGTTGGCCACATTATTTCTGATACAGGCCAGGATGCCATTGGCCATTTGGCCACCAGGACACGCTGCTGGCTCATGTTCAGCTGCTGTCAACCAGCAGCCCCAGTTCCTTTTCCACCAGGCAGCTTTCCAGCCACTCTGCCCCAGCCTGTAGCACTGCCTGCAGTTGTCGTGACACAAGTACAGGAACCAGCACTTGGTCTTGTTGAACCTCACACAGTTGGCCTCAGCCCATCAATCCAGCCTGTCCAGATCCCTCTATAAAGCCTTCCTACCCTCCAGCAAATCAACATTCCCACCCAACTTGGGGTCTCTGCGAACTGGCTGAGGCTACATTTGGTTCCCTCCTCCAGATCATCAATAAAGATATTAAACAGGATTCACCCCAATACTGAGCCCTGGCGAACCCCACTAGTGACTGTCTGCCATCTGAACGTAGCATCATTCATCACAACTCTCTGGGCCCAGCCACTCAGCCAGTTTTTTACTCAGCAACAGTGTCCCCATCCAAGCCATGAGCAGCCAGTTTCTTCAGGAAAATGCTGTGGGAAGCAGTGTCAAAGGCTTTACTAAAGTCTGGGTAAACAAAATCTACAGCCTTTCCCTCATCCACTAACTGGATGTCATAGAAGATCAAGTTAGTCAAGCGCCAGTGCCCTAGATTCTCCTTCCAGCCCCTCTTCTAGATGGGCATCACATTTGCCAACTTCCAGCCACCTGGGACCCTCCCAGTTAGCCAGGACCACCAATAGATGATGAAAAGTGGCTCAGTGAGCACTTCCCCAGCTCCCTCAGTACCCTTGGGTGGATTCCATCTGGCCCCATAGACTTGTACATGTCTAAGTGGTGTAGCAGGTGCTGAACATTTCCCCTTTGATTATGGGAGCTTCATTAATCCCCCTTCCTGTCTTCCAGCTCAGGGCACTTGATACCCAGAGAGCAACTGGTCTTGCTATTAAAGACTAAGGCAAAGAAGGCATTAAGTACCTCAGGATTTTCTTCATCCTTTGTCCCTGTGTTTCCTCCCACATTCAAGAAAGGATGGAGATTCCCCTTAGCCTTTCTTTTGTTTCCAGCTTCCTGACAGACTAGCTGTTCTATGTCAAAAATTGCATTGATAATTAAAGCAAAATTGGTATTAACTGCCTTTTCCATTCCTTAGCTAATCTTTTAAAAAACTTTCCATAGGTAAAAAAAAAAAAAAAAAATTAAAAAATAAAGACAAGAAAATATGAAATATATACCTCTATTTTAATTAAACCTCATTATTCATTTAATTCATGTACCTGAAAGCAATAAAGGATTAATTAAGTGCCACAAAGCATATCAATTATTGATCTTTCAAAAATTGCATGTTCTGGTTTCTTTCCTGACAAAGTATATTTAAGGGAAATATTAAGACAAAATATCAATGTTTCAATTTGTCAGTAAAAAATGCATACATGGATTTAAGTCATGTCAAATTTTTGGTCAAGAACTTTGTGTTCTTTGAGAATTATATTGCAATGTTTTAAAATTAATTTAAATTCTGTAACTGAGAAAAAATAATGTCAGGCTCTTCATGTTTAGTCAAATAATGTATCAGTAATGGCTTGTATCAATTAATGGATTATTACAAATAATTATTCTGATGCACAAAATCATCCTACCTTTTACTAATTTAAAAATATATTTAACATGTAATTGAAACAGATATAAAAGTGAGTCCATATATCTAATGAATGGTTAATATAATAATGTGTAATAAATTAAGTGGCCACCTTACTAGTAGCCTCAAAATTTTCGGGAACTTATTTATCAGCTGCTTTGTTGCATTTCTTTGTGTTTTATAAGAACATTTCATGTTGACACCACACGATTCAATTGTTTATATATTATTTCCTTGCTGTACATTATTTGATTTAGGAAATGACACAAGCATATAGATGTTATGTGGCTGTTGAGCTAGACAGCCAGGAGGCTTCTGCATTGAAGTAAAATGAATTCTTCCCCAGGCTCCACTGACATTAGCTCCAACTCCACCAACTGTCAGGAGGCCTGGCAACCCCTGGCTCACAGCACACTACACACAGACACCAAAATACAGGTGTCACTCTGGAGCTGAATCTTACCCCTGATAGCTGTAAACTAATTTTAAAACTAGGCATAGATTTACTTATATTCCCTGATGTACTGAGTGCCCAATTATATCTTCCTTTTTTTTTTTTTTTTTTTGCCTTCTTTTTGTTTTGCTTAAAATCAGAAATTCACATTTCTGGAATCTTTAAATAACCTATATAGATCCCAAGTACTGGCCAAGGTAACAACTCCTGTCATGCCCATGTGACAGCATTTATAAGCATTCCATGCACTGGATGTTTCTCTTGGCTCCGTTCATTGCTGAAAGATGCTTCTTGCTTAAGGACAGCCAACAAACAGCTGCTTTACACTACAGCAAATGCACATCCTATACATACAGGTGGTTTACTGGGTCACATAATGAAATTCTGACACCTCAAAAACTACTGTAGACGTCTATGCCCTACCTGAAGTTACATATAGTCATATCCAGGACCAGACTTTGCATTTCACTGAGCTGTCTGTTCAAAGCTCACAGAAGACCTTTCTTTGTGTACTGTGCTATTCAAAAATAGACAGGTGCACATCTCTTCATAACCAGACATACATTCTGTTAGTCAGGAAGAGTCACTGGTACCTATTCTTCTTTTTGAAGAATGAACATTAGCCATTTTGAATGACATTTTTTAAATACTCTTTATCAGCATGGTTTCTACTTCCCAGGGATCCCACTTCCAAGGAATCAAAACCAATTCTCTAAAAAAGCTTTTCTTCAAACATTTCATGAGTTCTTTAGTAGCATCTTTCAAATATTATGATGACACTAGGTCTTACAATCACAAAGTCAGTCTAATTATTGAAAGTCACTCGTTCAACATTTCTATGGTAATTGTATTAACTGCTTCCATGAAGTACATGGTGTTGGGAAAGTCTTACAATGAATCTTTCATGTTGCTGCAGATAAAGAGGAACCAGCACTAAATGACCAACCAGCTTTCTACAGCAGATGCTGGACAGCATCTCAGCCCAGAACTGCTGCAAAGGCTGGAAACCTGGACTTGCGAGAGAAGAGCAGGCTCAGCTCTGATCTACAGTAGTCCCTCTATACCCTCTCCAGGCAGGTGAAAAGCTCACACATATACAGACTCACTCTGATTTGGAGACATACTGTTGATTTTTTTCTAACAAATCAAATGTTCTGGCCTAAATGCATGTATATTCTCTGTCCCTCTGCTTTCTACACATCTCCCTGCCCCCTCTCCCTCTGAAGCCTCATTTGAACCCATACCACTGCTGTCCCTTCACCTATTGCTGCTCCTTCCCCTGTGGTCAATTATCCTGCTTTGTGTCTGTCTCCCTGATGGGATGCTGAGGAGCCCTGATTTCCTCAAATCTGAATCAAAGGTACCAATGACAAGACAACTCCTGGTTGTGGATTGTGCCAACTATGCAATTGCAAATCCAATTAAGTAACAGAGTGTGCATTTGTACAAGGCCTAATTCAATGAAAAGAATCTCAGGCCTCTACTCTCTCTCTCCTAGCATCAAAAGTTGTCAATTAATTTCCTCTATAAAACATTACCAACACAAAATGGATGTAAGAAACACACATCACATTTCTAATCACAGTGGCCTTTCCATCTTTACCATCCTAACCATCCCCTAGGAATGCAGCACTCTCTATCACTGCCTTCACATTCCCCCTAGCTCCAGGAATATCACAATATAAACCTTATCAGCTTCCTTTCCACTTTCAGTTTGTTTACAATAAACCCCACACAAACAAAACAAAGTAACAGTAACAAAACTCAGCAACTCTAAACTTGCATTATATTTTGTTACATCCTTCTCTCAAACCCAGTCTTCTCTTCCCAGAATACCAGAGGGGATTTCAGATTTTCCTTCTTATCTTCATTGACCTCAGCTTTACTCTATTAAATAGGCAGGCTTTGCTCTTGGAGCTTTTGTTTACTATTCATATTTGAATGTACATTTCCTTGTGCAGCATGACCAAGGGAAGACAGGAGAACAGACTTCCTATGTGAAAAAATGGCACAGCAAAGAGGAAGCAAACTATATCCACTTTCCATTAAAGACAAGGCAAGAAAGAGACATTTAGAATGGCAATAAGGAAAACCATTCAGCACAGGCACCTGATCTCAAGTGGCTTGCCTAAGGCAAGTGGGAAGGTGTGAAATTTCCATCTTCTATATGTAACTCTTCAAAAACGTTGATGCTGGTGTAGGAGGACAAATTATCCAGATTCTGTATTATTCCATTGTTTTCTCCACTCG